AACATCCTCTTTCTCTGTTGCCTTGATTTATTGTCATGTTTGTTATTTTGTAATAAAGCCAAAAGCCCAAACTAATTTGCTTAAGATGCAGCAGTTGCAAGACACGAAGCAGTTGACTTCTCAAAAGCTTCTTATGGTCTTTGAAACAGTTGGAAAATTTCTAAGGGAAAAGAGTTAAGTGGCAGGGCATCAGCAGAAACTTGCAGAGGGGGTCAGTGCCACAGACTGGTGTTAAAACAATTGAAGATGTCATGACATGAAGCCTAACAGCAGCGCTGCATGGTGTGATTAATAACTGCAGCACGCAAGATGGTGTTTTGTGCTGTCTCTAGCCTCGCTAAACCTAACGAACTCAGATTTATGGAACAAGCATATTGTGGTAGAGGAGGATTAAACAAGGACTTACTGGTGAAATAGTCCTTGTTTTGGAGGCATTTGCTCAGTGTTGAACAAGGACATGGCGTCTCTGTGGTGTCTCTCCACGCTGCAGCAGACCCACGTGTTGCATGTGATCGCTGAGAACCATGCTGCGGTTGGCGATGCATGGGTTGACCTGCTGCCGTTGGGAACTTCCCCAAGCCCTCCAGTTTTGCCTGAGGACTGCCTGCCAAAAAAACAGGCCGGACATTTGGCTATGCTTAAATCTGTCGGCTGTGACTGGGTGGTCTGGCATAGGCAAATAGGGCTATCTTTCTGCATCCCTACTCCTTAAGGTCTTCCTGCTCCCTCCCTTTTGTGTTTGTGGCAGATGTGCCACACCTATGTTTTATAAAAATTAAGGGCAATAGTATTGGCTGCTTTCCTGTTTGAAATCACCTGGGATGCTCTAATGCTGAGAAATACCTGATAATACTGCTGGTTAGGGAGCAGCCTCTTCCATGGGGCGTAGGATGGCTCTGCTGTCAGGGGTAGGATGAAACAGGAGCATGAAGGAGAGGAGGATTGCCGGGGCTGAAACAGAGCATGAGGCTGTTCTGTTTTCTTGGGCAAGAGGCAGCCGCTGTGTGCTGCTGACTCATGTAATGACCCTTGTGCTAATGCTGTTCCCTATCATTTAACACAAAAATAAAACTGCTAAATTGAGACCAATTTGAAACATGCGTGGTTTGCTTTGGAAAACACTTAATAGCTGCTATACTTTAGGACTGTGATTGGAAAAGGAGGGAGAAGTAAATAGTTTGGATTAATTTAGCAATATTAAACTGTTATTATTGAACTTTCCTAAATTCTACCCAAATCTTGGCTCAAATCAAGCAGCTTCAGAAAATTTGTGAGAAGTGGAAGGTGAAGCTAAGTGGGAATAGGACATGAAAAGAGTGTGTCATTACCTGAAAGGGAACCAAAGTGTTTCCAGCACTCGCAGTAGTTAGTGAGTTGCTTTGAAGGATTTTTCAACCCTTAAATCCTTAGTGCTTTGAGGCAGCGATTTTGGCCTTCAGATGAGTAGAGAGCAACTTGCTGCTCTGACTGCAGAATAAATTTTGAAAGCAGTGTGAGTGCAATCTACAGGATTAGCAGACAGGCTGGCCATAAAGCAGAAATCTGTCCAAAACAGGTTATTAAGAGATCTTATGATTACTTAATCATAAAAAAGTAGCCTACAAAGCCTGGATAGTTCACAGTGGCTTGTCACCTTTTATAATGCCCTGCCAGGTCCTGTTTTAAGAATGTAGACACCATCCTCTCTGCTGCAGGCAGCAGCAACTCTACAGGCGCTTTGCACAATTAAGGCAGCGACATTGCATCAGAGACTATTTTTCCTTATCCATGTGTATGATGGGTCACACGATACTGTGGCAGGTGGGAAAATGCAGAATGGGTTGAGTGCAAGTAGCATCTACAGTCATAGGGGGACATACAAGTTGTATCTTTAATCCCCGAGAGCTCATCTCAGCAAAATGCTTAATGTTGCTCCACATAAAGCATTTCTTGCTTTTCTACTGCTCACTGTATTGCTGCAGCTCTCTAAATATTAATTAAATGAGAAAGGAATCGCCCTCAGATGACCCTCTATAGCATTGCTTGCTGGATTGAGAGTCTGGGCTGCAGTACAGCCCCAAATCTGTAGTTTTTTGTAAAAGTGGTAATGGTGACTCAGTATGAATGACAACTTGAATTGGTTATGTCAGCTCTAACTAATGACACTGAAGACCAATAAAGTGACTCTTAGATTTGTTTGGTATTAATGGTCTCATTATTAATTATGTATACATGACAGCAGCATTAGTGCTAGTATTAACCATCAAAATAAAATAGAATTGTACTCATAAATCTCACTGAGAAATACTTGAAGGATTACAACCATTCTCCAACGGAAAGGAAAGGAAAGGGCGTGAGTCTGGGGTAGGAGTGAGATGGAGATGGGGGAGGGTTTGGGGAAGGATACCAGTATGATGAAGACTGTGCGAAGAAGGAGCCTGGGCACAGGGAAGCAGGACTAAGGGTGAAGTCTGCCCCTGCCCTGGATGGATAACGTTGGGTTTTTCTGCATGGTGGCAAGAGTTGTGGACCCCATCACCCTCGAGCCCTGATGCCTGCACAGTGCTTTCCCTTGCCTTTGGGACTCTGCTGCCAGATTGATATCTAATCTGGGAACCACTCCAAAGGGTTTCTCCATCGTGCGAGGCTGGGACGAGCACCCTGCCTATCTCCAAGGGCACTTGTGAAAGCTTTAACGCCTATAAGAGCATGGGGATCACAAATGGCAGAGAGCAATGCAAACTGGGACGAGCACTCACCAGGAGCAGCCTCTGCTTTGGGTGCTGCCCACGGACAGGAGGAAGGGGAAACAGGCACAGCCGTCCTGCCCTGGAGGGAAGGCAGGGAGATCTTTGCTCAGCAAAGAGCTGCCTTTACTCCTGGGTAAGCTGAGCCAGCTCTGACCACGGTAAACTGCTGAGCCCGGGCAGTGTGAATTACCTCCTGCCCCGGAGAAACATGGAAAAAGAACAACTGCACCTCGGAGGGATGCGTGGGATCACAGTTTCCTGGGGTGGTGCAATTTGCACAGCGCTGCTTGTCTGGGGCCACGTCTCATTAAAATCTAGTCCTTAATGAGCTGGGAAAGACTGCATCTGCCAAAGCTTGCCATTGAGGTCTGCTCTGCGGCAGTGCTGACGTGGCCGTGTCTGGTGTGAGAGGTCAGGCCTGAAAGAGTTAACTGAGGCTGGAGGTGGCTGTCGGTGGTGGGCCACGCTCTGCCCTGTGCTGGCCTTCACGTGGGGGTGCTGGGTGTGGGTTGGATCTTGCTCAGCGGTGAGAGTAATGGCTCTATTTATAATGCCTTAAATGAAGTGCATGATAATTTAATTTGTACATCCATTAATACTCTCTACTGCGGGGTTTGTTCTTAATTATATCGCTGTAAATGGAGTTTTAGGCATATTAACAGGCTCTCGGTCCTACTGCCAGGCACAGCCGTGTCCATCCCACATGTGGTTATTTGGAAAAGAACTTTTCCTTTCCACTACCTCCACTGCCCTGGTTGGAGAGGGCTCCTCCCAAGCTGACAGTCATTGCCCCAGAAGCACTTTTTCACCCTGAAATAGCCAGGAGACAATCATGATGGCTATTTCCTTGGCATCAGTGTGGGAGATAAGTTGGTGTTGATTCTCTCTGCAGGACCTGAGGTCAAAGGGGTCCTGTGGGACCTACAGCCCCAGGGTCAGCAGCTACCTCAGCTTCTAAGGTTTTCTAAGGGCAGCTCATCCTGCAGATAGGAACTGGGCACCCAAATACCTTTGTAGGTTGGCCCAGGGTTGCCCTGACTATTACGGACTGATAATCTGCCTCTGCTGTTGGTTCCCATGGGTATGAGTGGATTAAAAAGCATCTGTCTTCAGTCATGTCTCATGGTCTGGTTTACAGCTGAGAAGCCAGCAGTAAAGGTATGTGTTTGTCACCTGCCTGACTCCCAGGCAGCCTTTCCCCCACATACATGGTTATTTTCCACTTAGGCTCCTGTCTCTGAAAACTGTCATTTACCACACAAAATGATTGTTTCAAGGAGAGTGCTCTTCTTACTCCCGACCTGTGCCTCAGTTTGCAATGCCAGGATGGCAGCAGTGGAAGGGATTCTGAGCTCTCTATCTCTGGAGATTGCTGTGGATGGGAGATAGTGTCAGAGCTTCCCACTTGGGGTTCTTGCATCCTTCTCTGTGGTTGGTTTGACTGATGTCTGAGATATATAGCCCTGGGTGGGCACTGCAGGCCTCACGCTGTTGTCCGTTAAAGTCTGTTTAAAAATATCACAGGGTCATTTAAAAACATTTAGAGGCTCTAAATTATTTGAAAAGTTTAGAGAGTCTAAACTTTTGAAATAGGAAGCTATTTGCAGGGATGTGTTCAGTGATTGTGCTAAAAATGTCTTGACTAGCCACTTCACCTTGCAGTGCCCCAGTGTCTGCAGGAAACGGGGGAAATTGCTTGCCTCTTTCCAAAGATGTCAGCGAGAAAGTGATTGCTGAAAGGTGCTGGATAATGAGTAATTATCTAAGTCCAGGAGAGCTGAGGCTCTTTCCTGCAAACTGCACAGTTATGTAGCATTTCTCATAGACACAGATAGTATTTGCTGTCTGCATTAGCTGCTTCTAATCTTTGAAATGAAGCCAGAATTCTTTAAGAATCACTGCTTTTTCTGAGCTGATGCTGCCTCTTTTGCCTGAGGAGCATTTGAAATCTGCCAGAATGCATATATTGTCGAAAACCGAAATTGAAAACCCTATACAGGATCTGCTGCCCCTGTGAGTTATGAGCTTTCCCAAGTCATAGAGGAAATGCCTGCTCTCATTGTCTGCAAGAGCTGTGGATGGACAGAGGCAAAAGAAATCCTTCTCTCTCCCCCCCTCCCGCTGCCACCCAGAACTCTCTCTTTGGGTGGAAAGAAGCTTTTGACACAGAGACACGCATGCATACACACACGAGCACTTTTGTGCCTCCCAGTGACCTGCCTGCTTCTAGCTGTCCCTCCTTCCAGGGAGCTGGACCTGTCGAGACACAGGAGTCGGGGGAATCCCGTCCCCTCTCTCCGGCTGTGAGACCAAATGAATAAAGTCAACAAGGTTTTGAAGATCCTTAAGAAGTCATCAAGGAGGAGGAAGAGATGGAGAGAGGAGCTGAGGGTGGAGGAAGAAGGGGAGAGCCAGCAACTCTGTGACCCAGGTGGTTTGTGCCGCCTGCACCTCTGTACCAGTGGTAAGGGATCAGGAATGCTCCCGCTTGCCTGGAGATAGCGTGCCTGGTTGATATCCATTGCTTACGTGCCAGGACAGCTTCCTACAGCCAGCCTCTGCTGTCGTGCTTTTCAAGGGCTGAAAAATATTGGTGGGAGAAGTGTTAAGGGTGGGGAGCTGGGACTCTTGGGTCTCCTTTATAAACCTTCTGTTCCTTGTGAGGGTGGCATTTTGCACATCTGTGCTGTGCGTAGAGCAGGGAGTCTTCTCTCCAGTGGGATAATATTTTTAAAAGTGCAGGAAGAACAAGTAGCTCATTGAGATTTTTGTTTGATAGGTGTTGATGCGTTTTGAGATGTTTAAGCCTGGATGTTTGTTATGTATGTTTGTGCAACAGAAAAGCAATGGGAAATCAAGAAATTTAGGTTGGTGTTTTTCTGAGGGATGTGTTTGCCTGCAAAAGTGTGCTACAGCCAAAGTTGGTCTGGATCCAGGTTTGCTATACCCATTTTTATCTTCCAAGCAAACTATGCTGTGGCTGTAATATCACCAATAATTATTCTGGTTTTAGTCTATCTATAAAAAAGCCAAACAAGAGAAGCCCAGATCATGAAAAAGAGACATTTACAGCATTTGCTGACATGTCCTCAGCACAGTTGAACTCTGCCGGTGGCTGTGACCCAGCAGAGGAAAATGTGACGGGCTGTGCGCTTGGCCGTCAGGCTCAGCTTCCTTCGTTCTGCATTGCTGGAGTCCAGGGGATGTGAAGAGCTTATGAAACTACACCTAAGATGAAGCCAGCCAGCCTAGAGGGGGTTTAACTGGACTGCCTATAACCCCAGTGGGTTTGAGCCACTGGAGGATTCTTTAGCGACCTCTTTCTTGGGTCCCTCTGAGGTGTCCCTGCTTCTTCCAGTTGCAAGCTATGGTGAGAACAGGATATCCTTCCTAACTGGGTCTTTGTTGCTTGTAGGATTTGATTTGATTTAATTTACTTATCTATATTAATTCATTCTGCTTCCAGCTGCCCAGACCTTCTCCTGTCTTACCTCCTATCCTGGTTTCACCCCAGCCAGCAACTAAGCACCATGCAGCCGCTCGCTCACTCCCCCCTGGTGAGGTGGTAGCTCAAGAGTATGAGCTGTGTTTTTGCAACTGTTTTTCCAGTGAAATATGCTCAAATACTTTTGCTTAAACTTTTCATTATATTTTTTGCACCGTCTTTAGTTAGAAATTGATCAACAGATAAGAAAGGAAATTAAAACCTGAAAACATTTAGGTATCAGAAAATGAAGCGGCAGTAGAAAATGTTAGATAGCCCTAAATTGACAGTTGCTGCTATTGTTAACCCTCTGTGTATTTTACTTTATCTTTTTAATAGGCAGCTGTCAGCTGAGAGAGTTCACACCAAGCCCTGAGTTTTCCTGCTGCCTGGGAACATGGTCCCATCAGCGTTGAGTTTTACATTCAGTCTGCATCCTTCTAACCATCTGCTAAACTTTATGGTGCTGACCTGAGAGATTGAGTGCTTTGGTCACTTATTTGGTTATTCGTTTATCAAAGGAATGATCTTTTGAACCTGTAGTTAATGCCAACCTGTATGGGCAGGTTAGTTAGATGGGCTGGGTCCACCTCAGCTGGACATTTGGAGTGGACCTCTTCCTCTGAGCTATGTCCAGGCTGCTTAGCAGGGAAAGGAGAGGAATTGGTGCTTCTCAACCCAAAATAGGCATCTCAAACTTGCAGGATGAATTCTCAAGAGTCTTCCTCTCTGTTGACTGTAGGGGAAGTATAAGTGACTGGCTAAGATGAAGATGTGTCTCACAGGCTGACTTCTCTGTGGCTTTTAGGGTTTTTGGGACGTGAATGTGCAACTAAGAAAGTTTTAGTTTTACTGCCTGGGTATGTTTTAGGTGAAGGGCCCCTTCTTTCACAGTCTTTGCTACTCTGTAAGGTTGTTAGCCTGAGACTTTGTAAAAAGCTGAACCAATGGCTTTTTTCCCCTGAATGCAAGATAGGTAGTGGGTTAATGCCCCTTCTGCTATCTGGAAAACAGTGATAGAGATGGATTGCCAAAAAAAAAAAGCATCTGTTAAGGCAAATGGGGAGAAAAATAGTGCATTCCTGCAGTCGGATTCTCTGCCGGCAGTTATTTCAGCCAGTTATATCACCACAATAAAATGTAAATGAATGCAATCATTTATTTTGCAGCCTGAAGGCCTAGTGGTATGAAAAGATAAGAGAACATTTTCCATTGTTTATATGGTGGAGGTGGCTTTTCTGTGTCTGCTGCTGTCTCTCTGATACCTTGGCAGCATCCAAATGTTGCCTTTATTATTAAAAACACATATATGGGAGTCTAATAACTTAAACAGATTAGCATGGTGTTTACAGAAGCATCAGCCAGCCCCTGCTCCCCACAGGCTCTTTGGCATTCATGTGTCTTCTTTGGGAGCAGTGCACAGAAAGCAGAAATGCCATCGGCTGGCCAAGAACTGGTAAAAAAAGCAGTTTGTGTGAAGATGCAAGGCAAGGAATGATGGGCCTGGAACGTGTATGGCTGTCGCTGGTTGGAGGGATGAGCAGAAGGGATTGGGGGACGCCGGTGAGCTGCTTCTCCGGAGGCTGGAGAGGGGGAACAAAGGGAGGATGGAGAACAATAGGACATGACAGCGGCATTGGGATAATCTCTGCTCATATTTAGGCATGTTTAATAGGCCTGTCAGTTTTTCACATCTCATGCATTTTCATAAGGATTCCTCTTTGCCTCTCGTTTTATCTTCTTGTAGCTTCTTGGATTTCCCTGCGGACAGTCTCTCCAGATTTCTTTGTTTTGTTCTCTCTTCTCCCCACCCCATTTCAAAGTAGTGCTGAGTTGCCTGGCTTTGTGGTGTCTAAGCAGAAAGGCAGATTCAGCAAAGGGGATGTTTGGGAAAATCTCATGTTATCCTCAACAGAGGGAGAACTTTGGTATAGGAGGGGGGATTGGCAGTGACCTAGACGCATGTGCCATCGGTTATAGCTCTCTCTACACTGGACTAGTCCCAGTTATATGTAAGGCTATGGAGAATTAAAAATTATACTCGAGATTTTTACTTTTTTTGTTTTTCTCTGGTCCCTCTGAAAGCTAATATACAGTTGTTCTTCAAATTTTCCACCCAGTATCATCTACCTTTAGAAATACAGAGCTACTCAACTTCTAGGTTAAATTAATACATTCAGAGGGATGTTGCACAGCCTTTCAGATCATCTGTGCTAAACTCCTACCCTTCCCTTGCTAAGTGATGCCAGACCTAGTTACTTCATCCTCCCACAAGAAATCCCCCAGGCACATAATTAAAACCAAGCCATCCTTGTAAAGCCACTGGCTGAGCTCACCAGAATTGTTCCTGCATTTCTTGTGGCTTTGAAGTTCGTGAGTGCTGGGGCTTGGAGGGATGTGAGGACCTACAGAGACGCAGCCCTGGCAGGCGAAGGAGATCAGGAGCTGCAGTGATCGCTGACGGGCCTCTCTAAGAGCTGGTCTTGTCCCACCTGATCCCTGAGGTGAAGACAAACATCTTCACATAGGTGCCTGGCCCAGAGCGGGACCACACCAACAAGAGTTCAGAACTGCATGGCCAGGCTGTCCAAAGGGTTTGGGTCCTTTAGGTGCCTCTGTGCCTGATGAAACTTGATAGCCTTTCAGAAATGTCTCATCATCAGGATTTGGGGGCTGGTACTCTGGATATCATGGAGCAAAGCTCATGAGAAACCTGTGGAGTGTCCTAGATCCTGGGTGGGGAAGGAGATGGAAAGAGCTGCAGGTGGTGGTGGAGGAGTTCCCCCTTGCTTGCTTAGGAAGAGGCACCTTTACCTCATGCCAGCAGAAGAGCAGCTGTCATAAGGCCCTCTGTCCCATCAACGGGGTGATTTTCACACAGCTTTTACACATTTTGTGATGACAGTTTGGTTTGTGGCAATTTATTGTCCTGCAGGTTTGTCTCCTCTGTTTATATCCCAGGGGTCTCATTGTACAGCAGTAAATCATTGCAAAGCTGATAGTTTAGTTTCCAGCCATAAATTCAGATGCTGGAAAAAAAAGATTTGTGTATTCCTATGCCTCTCTTCTTCGAATGTGGCTGTTCATAGAGCTCCGTGTACCCCCAGGTGTGAAGACTTTTGGTAGAAGCAGTGATAACTAAAATAGTGTCTTGAGGAACCTCTAAATAAAGGGTTGCTTATTTATATGGGAATGCAGGAGGTGAAGTGATTTGGACACAGCTGTATAGCAGGGAAGGGGTGAGACAGGAACGAGAAGATCCTTTTGGCGGAGCATCGGCACGAGGCTGGGTGTATGGGTGCTGTACTGTCTGGTCCTAGTCGTGGTCTGGGGACGGTGCTGGAGTACTGCACGCAGCAGTCAAGCAGTTGAGATCTAACCTGCTGTAGGTCCTGGGATGACTCTGAGACCTGGCACCGAGTGCTCTGCTAGTGGGAGCAGCATTGTTGCTGGTGGAAAGGGGAAAACCTAAGAGCAGGAGTTAATGTGTGGCTCTGATGAAGTTAGGGTTAATAGCATTGAGACAGGGATATTTGTAGATAAAGGCAGAGGATCCTGAGAAGGGCAGCAGGCTGGAGACCCTAATAATCTTCTCCCCATCTGTGCCCTACGGTAGTGAGCGCTCTGTAAATGAAGTGGTTATTAGCACTTATGCTCATGTCACAAGATATAAACTGGTCTGTTGAGATGGAAAGACTTGCCCTTTTTTGACCCTTTGAAGTGACTTCCCTTGTGGTGACCAGCAGAAGGAGAAAGCTGCTGTATTTCCTACGTGGAGCCTGGTGCCCTTTCAAAGCCCCAGCATCTCCAATCTCCCTTTTGGCTAACAGGGTCGTACAGTTGCATTATTTCTGGTGTCTCCTCCACTTGCACGTGCTATAGTGGCTGCAGAAAGGGGATTCCTGGTGTACACTGGAGATTCAAAGGTGATTAAAAGCTCACAAATGGTTATGGGATCTCTTAACTTCCAGCAGAGACAA